GAGAGAGAGAGAGAGAGAGAGAGAGAGAGAGAGAGAGAGAGAGAGAGAGAGAGAGAGAGAGAGGGTCACTGAAGTGTCTCATCAATGGTGGGAGTAGGGAGCATAAAGACTGTGGGTGAAAGTCGGGGAAGGCAGACTATGAGCAGAGAGGGACGTATATCTTTTCATTTGTCTTCTTTGAGGCGTTGACCTAAAAGACGAGCATAGAGGAGTGAAACCATGGCGGAGATGGGTCAGGAATGTATATTTTATTCATTTATATGCTTGATCGAGGCCAGAGGGGAGGGAGGCCATGGCAACTAAGAAGCGCATGGTGATGGCTAGGGAAGAGGAGGAGGATGGCAGGCGACGCTGTGCAATGATATTGACGAAGGGGGAAGAGGGGAGCACATGACTGTGTGGAAGCCGACATCGAGGTGGAGGTCACCACCTCGAGGACACAGCAAAGATTTGGAAAATTGCAGCCAGTGGCAGGAGCTTGTTTGGATTTGGATGTCGCAGCGTTCACACCGCTTTGAGTGGTTTACCCATTGCAGTCGCAGGAGCGGGAGGCACGACCTGTCATGTGACTGTCATGTGTGTTGTCATATTCGCTATACACTCAAAAAAAGCATGACTGTACCAGACTGTTTCGTCGGATTTTCACCGACTCATCAGGAGGCGACTGTCATGTGTGTGTTTTAGATTTTCCCCACAACAGCCCCAATTCCACCCAGGTGAATAGATTCAGAATCAAAGCAGTCTTTATCCTATTGCAGAAAACGAGAGCATTTAAGATGTCCAACATGTTAAAGCAATTTTATAATTAGACAGTTTTTTGGTTGTTCTTGGGGTACCCCTTTCATTGTTCTTGCAGCTCCCCTTTTACTGTGCCTTACGCGCAAGGCTGCCCACATTGATTGTGGTTGAGCGGCAGCTTCCCACATCCCTGTGTGCCTCCACGGCCCACTTGCACGTGATTTCAGGAGGCAGAGTAATGGGGAGGTATGCTCCTGTGCATCTCTTAAAGAGCTTTATACTCCTGTCCATTTCATTTCAGATCTTCAGCTTATACAGCCTTTGTGTCCGTCCTTCATCTTCATACTTCCGTTCATTTTCATTTCTGTTCTTCATATCGTCTATACTCTTAATGATGCTCATTCGTATGTATTTGTTAGCAGTACAAAGGGAGTGGAGGGGAGGGTGGAGGGTAAGGGATAGAAGGCAGAGTTCTCTAGGAGTATGGGGCAGGGGAGGTAGGGGCAACGGGAAGGAAAGAAATATGTGGAGGGCAGGATAGAGTGACATGCAAGAGCAGGGGAAAGCTGTATGACAGCTCTCACAGATTTCTAAATATTCACCGCTGTGAGTGGCCACCCCTACAGACCGGACAGGACTGGTTCGGGTCTGGGCTATGGAAGCACCGCATCCAATTTTCGCAGTCACAGTTGCTGCACGGCGCAGACAGATGTCACAGGCTACGTGGCTTGTACATGCTAGGAACACAGAGGCACGTCGACCACAATTATAGAGGCATTGCCGTTCCAGCCCCTGTCTACAAATTGGACATGACATGTTGGGGTGCCGTACATGAGTACAGTACTGACTGTCATCGTACGTATGGAAGCAAAAACTCGCATGGACTATACCTTCATAATCCTCACGGCACAAGGCATGCGAACCACATGCTAGTTGAACCTCCGGCGGGTCATCACAAAACGGCATGGAGCATCTTTCTTCGGCTTCCTCAGTATGTATTCCTTCTCTGTGGGCAGACAACGACAGGGAGGATCGGTCCAACGCAAGGGCATTCAGCTGCTGCAGGATATGATCCGCAACAGCCCGCCCTGGTGGTGATAAACTATGAGCACATCGCTCTGTCGGTGGCTCATATAGAAGTCTATTTTCCTCCTCGGACTGCTGTGTTCGCCGCTCGTCTGGCAAGAAAGAGGGAGATCCGTCAGTGGTTGCCGTAGGTGTATGACCAATGCCGCATGTGGGACATGCTAGGAGAGGATGTGGAGGGTGATGACACCGGGGATAGTCCACGCAGTAAAGACACGTACTTTCTATGACAGCTTCCTGGAAGCATTGATGACACATGGCATGTTGCTGACATGTCATTAGTATGGAAGGCTGACGTGCACAGTTATTTAGGCATGGCAGGTCAAGGCCACAACGGCATGCTGGGCAAGTAATCAGGGGGTGGGGGGGATGAACACAGGACTGGGGATCACAATTTTCGTGTGAGGCTAGCAGCGACCATCCCTTCATAGTGTTCGGAGCAGAGGCTATGTCGTGTACATGCGAACTGAACTGTTCCTGTGCGACGACACAACGGGAGGGCACAACCATCATCCTGTGGAGAGGTCCTTTCACTGTTTGTGGTAGAATCAGCAGGATTGCTCTCCGGAGGGTGCAGTGCTTGCAAATGTTCATCGACCTACTGTTCCTGATGGATGATCCAGGCTGAGTGACCCTCCAGCATTTGGTGATAGAAAGAGTTAATATTTCCCACTGTGTGCACCCTAACGCCATCATCCCATAGGGTCCATGAACTATCTGCAAAGGTAAGAGCACTGAAGTGACCTGGACGATATAAGATATATGCCCGAATATTCGGATCCGTGCCTGGCTTGTGGTTTTGCGGAGCAGGCTGGAATTGCAGTCGCCTACCCATAAATGCCATAGCCAGGACTTCTGTGTTCACCCCAGGCGCAGCGCTGTCGTCATCTGGGCAGACAGCACGGTGCTCTTCTTCTATCCAGCGAACAACGTCTGCGAAATCAGCACCAGTATAAGGATTACAATTGTAAGCAAGGAGACATACATTAATGGCATAGTACGGACAGCGCCCTCGCTGTAGTGCTATGACATTGTCTGATTCCGCAGGTTGCGTGGGGGATCCGTTTACGGCAGGGGGGTCCTCGTTCAATTCTGCAGGTTGCCCAGGTGGCGGAGACTCGTCGTGGTCTTGACCAATTGGCTCTGGTATGTGCTCCGGAGAGACTGTGTGTGTTTTAGATTTTCCCCAAAACAGCCCCAATTCCACCTAGGTGAATAGATTCAGAATCAAAGCAGTCTTTGTCCTATTGCAGACAACGGGAGCATTTGAGATGTCCAACATATTAAAGCAATTTAATAATTAGACAGTTTTTTGGTTGTCCTTGCGGTACCCCTTTCATTGTTTTCGCAACTCCCCTTTTACTGTGCCTCTTATGCACAAGTCTGCCCACGTTGATTGTGGTTGAGTGGCAGCTGCCCACATCCACGTGTGCCTTCACGGCCCACTTGCACGTTATTTCAGGAGGCAGAGTAAAAGGGAAGGTATGCTCCTGTGCATCTCTTCAGAGCTTCATACTCCTGTCCATTTCACTTCAGATCTTCAGCTTATACAGTCTTTGTCTCCATCCTTCATCTTCATACTTCCGTTCATTTCATTTCTGATCTTCATATCGTATATACTCTTAATGATGCTCATTCGTATGTATCTGTTAGTAGTACAAGGGGAGTGGAGGGGAGATGGAGGGTAAGGGATAGAAGGCAGAGTTCTCTAGGAGTATGGGGCAGGGGAGGTAGGGGCAACGGGAGGGCAGGA